GGAAGAGATTTAATTACTTTTTTATGTTCTCCATAGTAAAGTGACCTTTTGTCTTTCTGGACGCGCCGCACGGCATGTGGGATCTTAATTCCCCAACCAGGGATCGAATCTGCGCCCCCTGCCTTGGAAGTGCGGAGGCCTAACCACTGGACCGCCGGGAAGTCCCTAAAGTGACCTTTTAGCTCTTTACGGTAAAGCCAGTGCTTTGGACCTTGTGGATCTGCTGGCATTAACATGTAGACGAAGAGTGTAGAACACGACGGTAATTCTGTACAGGGCAGCAAGGGCATCAGGTGGGCTGATTCCATGTTCTGGAACCAAGCGGGGCTGGCACCTGCCATGTGCTGCAATGGGGAGGGGACAGGAAGGGGGCCGAGCTGCCTATGCTGGTTGCATGAACTTCCCAGGCCCCAGCCTGTTGTCACCACATGGCCTAGAGCTGCACCCCCCTCGGTGGATTGACATCAGGGTGTTCCCTGCGCACAGGGGACCAGTGATGCTATCCCAGAGAAGTTTCTAAAAGGAAAGTAAAGACGCTGAAGACTTAGAGAAACAGCTAAGGTTCTGCTGGCCGCCGATGCAGGAAGGAAGGTCTCCGTGCGTCTGGGGTTTTAACATCAGCACGTTTTCTTTTAATAAATAGTTGGCGAAGAAGAAAGGAAGCGAAGTGAATAAAGTTTGGCCTCCATCACCGCTCCCCGCCCCTCCTCCCAGTGTGCTTTGCTGCTCTTCGTTTCCCTTGGGTCGGGGTGTTCTCCGTGAGAGGGAAAGGATTGTTCAGTGCTAATGGGAGCTGAGACCCCTGTTTCTCCACTTGCTCCCACCCGCAGTCCAGAGCATTCTCGCTAAAACATTTAAATTATGTCCTGTGGATTAACTAAAGACCTTTCTCATGTGCGTTGTCAAATGGCACGTCCGTTTGGAAGTTTTGGGGTCAGTGATTTAAGTTCCAAGATAATAGGCTGCAGACCTGGAAATCAAGTTTACATTGTGTCTTCCCTCCTTTTACTGAAATCAGGCCATTCTGGCTGAGCAGTTAGGTCTTCCTTTGTTGTTTAGATGTGGCGGGGAGGGAAGAACTTTCGCCTCCTAAGGGAGCTTCCTGTGATGTTGAAGGTGCAGGGCTGGGGCGTGGTTCTAATAGCAGGAACGCCCCCACTTCGGGCAGGAGCTCCTTTCTGCCCCAGGTGTGTAAGAAGAGCAACCAGTAAATTCCCAGCCGCACCCAGACACACACAGGATCCCCAGGATGGCCAAACGATAAACATCTCCATCATGACCCGATTAATAGCCATGTGCCAAAAATCCAGAGATGCTACAACCCTGTAGCTGACGGGGTGGAATAATACTTGATCGCGAGCTGAGGGCTGTCTCGGAGGGAAGGCTGGTCTCCGTCAGACGCCTGAGCATTCTCCGCTGAGCCCATTTTGGGGGAGAATGTGACCCAATGGCTGAGGATCAGGGAGGCGGACCAGTGTGGATAACCGAAGCTCCTAGCTTGAGGCTGAGGCAGGGCAGCCACTTCATTAAGGAAGGAAGTGGAGGAAAAGATTGGGTTTTGGCGGCAATTAACTCTGTGCAGAATCCCTTGAGTCTGAGATGCCTGTGGGTCACTCACGCAGTTCCCTCTCGAAGGTATGAGATAATTACCCAGGTTATCGAGGCGTAGATTTGGCATCGTGAATTGAAACCATGGGGAATAGAAGGGCTAGCTTAGGGAGACGTAGAAAGCGAAGAGAGAAGGTAACCAGGGCTGGACTCCCAACACAGAGACATCTTAGGAGTGGCCTGAACAGCAGAGCTTGACAAAGAGGACTGAAGATCTGACCAAGATAGAAACCAGGGGGCTGGAGACAGAGGCTTCCAGAAGCCAGAGAACAGAGTGCCAGGACTTTGGGCCCAGCTACGCAACAGAGAGTGACCAGGAGCAGAAGTGACAATACGTGCTTGCTTCGGTGCACTAGGTTAAGGCTAAACTTGCACAGAAGCAATTCAGGGAGTGGTGAGGGGAGAATCCATATTTTAATTAGAGGAGAAGTGAATAGTAATTAAAGCCATCAGCCAACTTGTTTGTTTTGGCAGCTAAGAGGAAGCAGAAGGATTGAGGGATTCTGCATTGCGGTGGAAGAGAATGCAATAGGTGAAGAAAGCCAGCCCTAGGGCAGCCATAGGAGACCCTGGCAGGGGCTGGGAGCATCATGGGTACCCTCGCTCCTTTTATTTTATTTTATTAGTATTTTTTTAAATTTATTTACTTATTTACGGCTGTGTTGGGTCTTCGTTGCTGCACGCGGGCTTTCTCTAAGTTGCGGTGAGCGGGGGCTACTCTTCGTTGCCGTGAGCGGGCTTCTCATTGCCGTGGCTTCTCTTGTTGTGGAGCACGGGCTGTAGGCACGTGGGCTTCAGTAGTTGTGGCACGTGGGTTCAATAGTTGTGGCTCGCGGGCTCTAGAGCGCAGGCTCAGTAGTTGTGGCGCACGGGCTTAGTTGCTCCGCGGCATGTGGGATCTTCCTGGACCAGGGCTCGAACCCGTGTCCCCTGCCTCGGCAGGCAGATTCTTAACCACTGCGCCACCAGGGAAGTCTGCTTCTTTTATTTTAGAGAAACTTTAATTCCGTAATGGGTCTGGGTGCCCGTCTCCCCTGTGATGTAATTCACAGCGTATGCTCAGTTAGAACCAGTGGAATATGTGGGGTTGTCACTGCCTGGTTGGGGGTGGAGCTGGGAGCTAGGGGAGGAGCCAGCCCCCCTGTTTCTATGGGCCCTGACTATTCTACTCCCTGGGCTGCTTCTTTAAGTGCCTTCCTCTCCCCATCCTGAGATCCTTGCTGCATCAGAGGTTGAGCTGGCAGTTATGGGAAGCTCCAAATGCCGAGAGGGAGGTCACTGCTCCCGGTGCTGGGGGCGTAGGGCGGTGGCATCTGTGGGTGTAAATCATCACCCTCCGCACTCGGGCTGCAGGTGTTTTATTCCACTCTGAGTGCCCAGATTTTTACCATTTTTCATGTCTGATTCTTCCTTTTCCTTTAAGTTGGCTTCTGGCTATCCTGAACAGTTGGTTTGAAGATATTAGCCAGGTTTGTTGTTGAAAATCATGGGGTTTTGTTTGTTTGTTTGTTTGTTTGTTTGCTTGCGGTACGCGGGCCTCTCACTGTTGTGGCCTCTCCCGTTGCGGAGCACAGGCTCCGGATGCTCGGGCCCAGCGGCCATGGCTCACGGGCCCAGCCGCTCCGCGGCATGTGGGATCCCCCCAGACTGGGGCACGAACCCATGTCCCCTGCATCGGCAGGCGGACTCTCAACCACTGCGCCACTAGGGAAGCCCGAAAATCATGTTTCAGTTTTCTCTGGGAAATTCAGTGGGTAAACTGGCAGATGTGCACTGGTATTGCGGTTAGAGGTTGTATAGGCTGGGCTCCTGGGCTCAGATACAAGCTCCCGCCTCGTGACCACTGACATTAGATATGTTGCTTCATTTCTTTGTGCCTCAGTATTTAGCTATTTAATGGGGGTGATGGTGGTACCTGGTCACAGTGCTGCCACGAGGATTCAGTGATGTAATGCACTCAGAACTGTAACCAGTACTCAGTGACCACCAGCTACCATTATTTTTTTTTTTTTTCTCACTGCCGTTCAAGCCCCTGGATTATCAACATCAGATACAGCCTGGAGCCAAAGAGATAGAAATATATACCAAATGCTCTGTTAAAAGTGCCCACATCCACATACCCTGAGAAAACCATAATTCAAAAAGATACATGGACCACAATGTTCATTGCAGCACTATTTACAATAGCCAGGACATGGAAGCATCCTAAATGTCAATCAACAGATGAATGGATAAAGAAGATGTGGCACATATATACAAAGGAATATTACTCAGCCATAAAAAAGAACGAAATTGAGTTACTTGTAGTGAGGTGGATGGACCTAGAGTCTGTCATACAGAGTGAAGTAAGAAAGAGAAAAATAATGTATCCTCACGCACAATTTTGGAATCTAAAAAAACGGTACCGATGAACCTAGTGGCAGGAATAAAGACGCAGATGTAGAGAATGGACTCGGGGACACAAGGGGGTGAAGGGGAAGCTGGGATAAAGTGAGAGAGGGGCATGGACATATATACACTACCAAATGTAAAACAGATAGCTAGTGGGAAGCAGCCACATAGCACAGGGAGATCAGCTCGGTGCTTTGTGACCACCTAGAGGGGTGGGATAGGGTGGGAGGGAGTCTCAAGAGGGAGGGGTTATGGGGATACGTGTATACATATGGCTGATTCACCTTGTTGTGCAGTAACAAATAGAAACTAACACAACACTGTAAAGCAGTTATACTCCAGTGAAGATTAAAAAAACAAAAAGTGCCCACATCTTTGTCGTCTACCACCCAGGATATCTAGGGGACCCCTGACCTGTCTCTGAACCTGGGCCTCCTGAACGACCCTCTTCTGGGTCGTTCTCCCCACACCTACCTCCATGCATGCGTCTCCTGCACTTCCTCAAATATATTTTTCTCTTCCCAAGGGCTTTTCACACAGCCCTTTGTCTGTATCAGACTAAGGGCTCTTGAGAGCCGAAACCTTGATTTTGAGGCTAAGTCTTGCTTCTTACAAGTGTCTGTTAGTCACAATGTGTAAGGAACAATCAGTTTCATGAGCTTGTTACTGCAAGGCATCTCCACGCTATTCTAATGCGGAGAAAATCGCCCAAGTGGGGATGGAAAAAGGAAAGTAAAATGAGACCAAATTAAAATGAACAGAAAATGGCTCTTCCGTATCTCTTTCAAAGCACAGGTGGAATTCTTTGTCTGCAGAATGACTGGGGTAATTTCAAAGTCTCCTTCTGGCACTAACGTTCTGTGACACACAGAGAAGGGAGAGGTACAAATAGGTAATTGGAAAGGCAGACATAAATGTTGATATTTTGTCATCTGGGGCTGGCACACTTTCCGGTCATGTTTTCACTGCTAACACTTTGGTTTCCAATGCTTTGCTCGCAGGGAAGGCCGCTCGAATGCTCACATCAGAGGAGATTACCAAAGAATTGGAGATGTGATGCTGAAGAACATTCAGGGCATGAAGGTGAGCTGCTTGGGGATTTGGGAGAGAGAGTTCCCCAGGGAAAATAATGCTGAGGCTGCCAGAGGCCTTGTTTGTGATCCTTGCCCGTGAACACGTGGCCTGATTCGAGTCTGCATGTAGCACAGCCCCGGGGGAAACTCTTCCGTCTCCTCTAGATACTTTTATTTGGAAGCATAAAGAAAGATCCAGTCACTTTGGGGGAAGCACTTTCAGTCCTTTTCCTCTTCCAAAGCTCTGTGTTGTAACCAAAACACCAGGTATTTTCTGTGATTAAGTCATTCGAAACTTGTTTTTAAAAATTATGTGGACAAAACATTGGTTGACTGAGCATTTCACTTTTAGTCAGTTGTTTTGGCTTCTTGCGGGTGTGACAAAGATATTGGATTCGGAGCTGTGTAGGAATTCCAGTCAATTCTGTGGCTTTCAGTTGGTTCATAAAGTGAATATATTTTTAACCATCCAGCAGTATCTACAATGATCCAAAAGAGCGAAAGTCTCCCCAGAGAAGTCAGTACATAGTGAACCAATATTCTGCCTCGTGTTTGAAATCTGCCCCACCTCTTACATCTGAAATTTTCATTTTTGCCTTTTCATTTTAATCCATTAATCATTCCTTTAATATGGAATGTTTTAATTCACATAATTTATCTTTTGAATACAAATACATCTATATTTGCATTTTAAAGCAATCTTTCTATATCTCAACCACCCACAGAGCCTTCCTAATAACCTTAACTAATAACTAAGAGCAAGCTTGTAACCCCCCAAAGAGGGCGGGTTGCTTGTACTGCCACCATGCAGCCCATCCAACCATCCGTCTGTGTGTCCACACACAGGCCATGCATACTAGCTGAGCACCTATAACGTCTAAGGCACTCATAGAATAAAAGTTATTGTTGAGGTTTGAATTAACTCCTAAGAATCTAAGTTGTTCGTGTTCGATTTGTTCCCCTTAGAATCATGTGTCTCCTGAGATAGGACAGTGGAGGCAGAGGGTCGGGGCAAGGGGATGCAGAAAAGATAGGATCTGAAACTACTCGAGGGATTTCCTGTTGCTCTTAACAAGTTCAAGATATTATTTAACAGACCTGGAGCCTATTGCTCGCTTTTTCCTGGTGTTCAAAAAGCAACACTCCCCGCTTTGGGCTGTATCAGAGGGAGGCCACGAAAGCCAGCAGGACTGCAGAATCCTGTACAAAAAAAAGCAAAGAGTCATCTAAGGTGTTCCGTGACAATAGTATTTTTAATGCCCTATGTAAGGTGGATATACAAAACTCAGATGGAACAGTAACAGACATCTTTTCACTTTTCCATGGTGTTTTTTATTATTTTATTTTTTAGAGCAATTTTAGGTTTACAGAAAAATTGAGCAGAAAACTCACACGGAGTTTCCATATTCTCGCCACACACACACACACACTCTCTCTCTCTCTCTCTCTCTCTCTCTCTCTCCCTCTCTCTCTCTCTCTCTCTCTCTCTCCCCCTCTCCCTCTCCCTCTCCCTCTCCCTCTCTCCCCCCCGCCCCCGCCCCAGTATTAACATCTTGCCCTGGTGTGGGGTATTTGTTACAACCGATGAGCCAGGATTGATATATTATTATTAACTAAATCCACAGTTTACATTTGGGTTCACTCTTCGTGTCTTACATTCCGTGGGTTTCGCCAAGGGCGTAACGTCACTAACCCACCGTGACAGCATCACACAGGACAGTGTCACTGCCCTAAAAACCCTCCGTGCTCCACCTGTCATCCCTCCCCTCCCCCAACCCCTGCAGACCACTCATCTTTTACCGTCTCCATAGCCTTTTCCAGATGTTATATAGTTGGACTCACCCAGTGTAGCCTTTTCGGACTGGCTTTTCTTACTTGATAAAAATAGGCTTTTTTCTCTCTTCTATAACACGTTTCTGTTACTGTTGTACTTTCTAACTCTCCTCATAGGAAGCCTCTCTCCCCACGTTCTGCACTTTTTTTCTCGGCCCAGTTTGGTTTTTACCTTTTCTCATGGTGCTGCCTCCTGCCTACCTGGGATGGGGGCTCCCATCTGAGGCTTGGGCTCCTCCAGGGACCTCGGGACAGCGGCAGACACCTGCCAGCTCGGTCCCCGCCCCCTTGGGACAGCCCCAGAGTTCTCCTGTTTACCACCTCCCCTCGTGTCCCTGTGGCGGAAGGGTGCCCTACAGTAGACATCCGTCCTCCTCTCTGGTCACCTAGCACCTAAGGCCTCCTAAAAATAGACCTGATTTCCACCCAGAGCAATTCTTTCCCCCTCAGTCTAGTGAGTTGGCATTTTTGCATGTAGCCGGCTAACCCTCGGCTGTGCTGGCGTTTTAATTATTGTGCCAATGCCACCAGCATTTATAGCATGGAACTCTGTGCAGGCAGAATAAAAATAGATGGAGAGGCTCGGAGAGCCTCTGGCAGCCTTTTGGAGAAATTGGGTTGTTTTTTTAATTGTGGTTGTTATTGTCGGTTTTAAAGAACTTTTATGAAGTGTGGAGGGGGACGGCAGAAGGTTCTGGACGTGTCGAAGCCCAGGTTGGCACTTTGGTCCAAAATGCTTCGGGTGAGCTCCAACTTGCATTGTCTTTCCCGCTCATCCTCCACCCGTGCGTTTCCCTGCACATGTTCAGGGGCTCAGCAGGGATGCTGACATCACCCTGCAGCTGTCCCCCGACCCTCCGCACGGGACCGAGGGAGCCGGCCAGGGCCTCCAATCCCTGCCTAAAAGTCAGCGGCTATCCAGATGATGATCTCTAGCCCGGGCTGTGAACTTTCAACTAGAAACATCTGCCCAGATGCCCAAAGACATTTCACAGTCCACACAGGCCAAGGAGGCCCTCGCCTTTTACCTGGACCCTTCCCCTGCCGGTCAGGCTGTGACCCTCCCTCCGGGGCTTCTACCGCCTGCCCCCTTTCCTCCTTCACCCTCCCGCTTCCCTCCCTCCGCCTCTCAGTTCTCTTTCCCAGCTGACTCACCAGCTGCCTCTTGTCCACCTGTCAACCACCATTGATATCGCAGACCGACTAGGCTCCAAACCTGCCTGGTCTCTCTGTGGTTTAGAGAATACAGTCCAAGCTCTAAACCCGACCGAGGAAGCCTTCCCTAGATGATCTTTCACCTTCCACCTCCCGTCCTTCACATTCTACTCTGTGCTCCAATGACCTTGAATCCACCTCTCCAGGCACTCAGGGCCTTGCAAGACCCCTTTCTGAGCGGGGTGCGTGCATTGGTTCGTTTGCTCATTAATGCATGCGTGCAGCAGACATCTGTGGAGCACCTATGGTGTATATCAGGCCCCAAGGATGTAGTGACAGGACAGACGCACTCTCTCAAATAAGGGACTGCACGTGTGAAAACACTGCATAGAGCTACATGCACGCACACCCATGCCACATACTTACATGTGCACATGCATGCACACACACACAAGTGAGGGCATGTATAACTGGCAGAATCCAAATAAACTCTGGATTGTCCCAGTGTCAACATCCTGGTTGGGATATTGTGCTGTAGTTAGGCAAGATGTGAGCGTTAGGGGAAGCCGGCTGAAGGGTACGTAGGACCCCGCCCTGTACTTGTCTTTTCAACTTCCTATGAATCTATATATGTTTTTTTAAAGTCACAAAATAAAGTCAGCAGGGAGACCACGTGATAAAGCCTAAGATGGACAATAAGCACAGGAGGAAAGGGAGAGCAGGGAAGGCCCCAGAGCTGACCCTGAAGGATGGGGGTGGGGGGCTGAGGGGGGGGCACGTCTTAGGAGCAGAGCGCCCTGTGCCTAGGTTCTGGGTGCCAGGGCCCAGCACATTCAAGGGCAGGTTGTTCAATGGGTGTCCAGAGCGAGTAGCAAGAGGCCATGATGGAGAGGCAGAAGGGGTTACATGCTAAGGGCCCCATGTGCCCTAACGACAACTCTGGAGTTTGTCCTGAGAGGGTGGACGTTCTTGTCGCATTCCAAGCAAGAGACGATGTGCCCATTTGCATTGGTGTAAGTTCCTTTTGGTGGCACTCGAAAGTCAGGTGTCAGGAGTGGAGACAGGGACCCCGACGGAGACACCATTGCAGTGGCCAAAACAAGGGCAGTGACCATGGGGTGAAGCCAGGAACAGGCTTGCTGTTTTCAGGAGATAGAGTTGGCGGGATTTGGTGAAAGATTCAGAAAATGAGGGGATCTGGAATCTTACCTAGGTTTTCTGTCCTGAGTAGGCGGTTGGTGGCGGCACCCATCCTGGGGTTAGAGGATCACGGGGCAGCCTCAGTTGCAGCAGGGGGTATTGGGTTGGTGTCTGGACTCACTGCGTTTCCCGCTCTTTGCGGCGCATGGGAATGGAGGTGCCGGGATGGGGAATCCAGATGTGGGAGTTAGCAGCACACGGATAGTGAGCCCACCTCTGGGAAATACTGATGGGGTAAGACGTGGGGACGACAGCTGCGTGGGGAGTTAATTCCTCCTGAACGCTCTGTCAAACTTCTTGCCCTGCGTCTGTCTCCAGCACCACCTGTTCAAGGAAAGCGATATTTGACAGCACTTGTTAAAGACGGTAGAGCAGACTTTATTCAGGACCGTTGCTGTAGGTATGGGGACACTGCAGTGGGATTTTACAGTGGGAGAGAGGGATTGGCCTCAGCTCTAAGTGCACCGGGGGCAAGTGGAGATCTACAGCCAAGGAGCAGGGCGGGGCTCAGAGGATGGGAAATTTCTGTGATGAAACATCACGGTCGTGAGGGGGGACTCTGGCTGAACCTACTTAACAGGATCCTTTGCCGAAGACAAGTGGGGTGCTCAGACATCACCTGGGGACGGCGGGGGATGCAGACCCCAATGTCAAGGGTGACCAGGTATCCAGGGTGGAGGGTCCTGGTTGAACTGACTTAGCAGGGTTCTCACCGAAACGGGATTGTACAAGGAAGGGCACAGGTGGCCTGGGAGAAGCTTCAGGAGGCTGACAAAAGTTTGCTCAGGCAAAGGATCTCGGTCAGACCCCAGTAGAGACGGACTGCGTTTCATTCCCATCCGCTTCCCCGGAATCCAGCAGAGCAGGATATGCTCAATTATTACATGAGCAAATTGGGTGGGGGGAGTTAAACAGAAATATGTAGTTTTAACTATATGACGTTTATTCAGTGGCCCTGGGCTATTTGTCGTTTTTTGATGTTTAGGAGAAAACCCCAAGCCCCCTGAAGGAGCTCCCATTGTTTTATTTCCCCTCAGTTTTGCCAGTCTTGTTTTGAAAGGACATGTATACCTCTAATGTTATATATACATCTCAAATAATCCCTGCGTATTTTAAACTGCACAATGCTTTAATAGAGCTTTTTATTCCATCCTGAGAAGTTAAATAGTGAAATATTAAAAACATGAAATTAAGTAAATGGAATGAAGTAATGAAAGCGAAGGTGATCTCTTTTGAGTGTCAAAATGGGTGGACCAGGCTTCCCTGGTGGTGCAGTGGTTGAGAGTCCGCCTGCCGATGCAGGGGACACAGGTTCGTGCCCCGGTCCGGGAGGATCGCACATGTCGCGGAGCGGCGGGGCCCATGAGCCATGGCCGCTGAGCCTGCGCGTCTGGAGCCTGTGCTCCGCAACGGGAGAGGCCACAACAGTGAGAGGCCAGTGTACCGCAAGAAAAAAACAAACCAAAAAAACCCCAAAGTAACCATTGCCCCCCTTCCCCCTTTTGTCTCCCTGGCTCCCTGCCCCACCCGCTCCCGTGTCTCGCCCACCAGCAACTGGCAGCGCATCTGTGGAAGCACAGCGAGGCTCTGGAGGCGCTGGAGACCGGCATCCGGGGCTCCCGGCGGCTGGAGAGCTTGTGCCGAGACTTCGAGCTGCAGAAGGTGTGCTACCTGTCGCTCAACACCTTCCTCCTGCGCCCGCTGCACCGGCTCATGCACTACAAGCAGGTCCTGGAGCGGCTGTGCAAGCACCACCCGCCCAGCCACGCCGACTTCAGGGACTGCCGAGGTGAGTGCTTGGGGGGGGGGGGGGTGTCTCGGGGATACTGTGTCCCAAGAGGGGCAGATGCGCTTTTTAGGACCTGATCAAATATTTTCTGTCCCCTCTTGGTCTTTCACGTCAAGAAGGCGGTAGTGATCACCATGGCTCCTCTTTTCCATCCCCTCTTGCATGCATTTTCTCCTTCCATCCTGCCTGGTTTAGTGCGAGTCAGCCCCTTACAGGAAGCTTTCCTCTACCTCCATGGTGGAAACTCATCACCTCCCCTTGGATGGGCCACAGAAAACGGCTGGTAATAAATACTGTTCCTCATTGCTGCGGGGCGTTTGTAAGGTCACCCCAATAAGCATTTCACCTGTGTTAACTCTCAGTCTCAACGAGAAGCCTATGAGACAGTGGTGAGCTCATTTTACATATGGGGGCTACTGAGACCAGAGAAGTTAAGGAACCTGCCCAGAGTCACACAGCTGGAAAGTAAAGGACATGTAGCCTAAACCCAGAACCCATGTTCTCGACCATCCTACCCTCCCTACTGGCTCATGATGATATTACTCACTGTCCCTCGCTCAGCACCTGGGCCAGGTACTCCGCCAGGTATCTTTCTTAGGCTAACACCTTTAATCCTTTAACAACCCCATGAGAGAACTATTGTTATCCCATTTTATAGATAAGAATACTGAGGCTCAGAGTGGGTGAAGGACTTGTGAGTGTCACTCAGCTGGCAAAAGAGCAGAGCTGGCATTCCAGACCATGATTTTCCCACTGGGCCACGCATCGTCTTTTTGAACCTGTGTCCTCTGCCTCGCGTTGTATGTGGTCTGTTACTGTCCACGCTCCCTGGCTTGGACCTACAGCCCCTTGGGGGCCAGGCCCTGAGGCCTGTTGCTGGGTCCCCTGCACTCTGCAGCCAGTCCATGCACAGAATGTACCCTCCGCAGGTGGTTCTTGACAGATAACATGAATTCGCACACCCGTTAGTATGTCAAGACCAGTGTCTCTTGCCTAAAGTATTATAAACTTAATCTTAGTTTTTAGAAAGACAACCAAAGAAAAGATTTGTCAGAGTAGTTAAGACATTGACAATTCATGTTAGGGCAACAGAAATGGCTCATGGCGTGGTTTTGGCTTGCTTTAGATGGCAGTCTTTGAAACAGACCGTGCTGCCCCCTGCCTTGTGCCTTAGTATATTCTGTTCCTTCTGCTGGGACTCCTTGCCAGCACCTCCTGGTCCTTTCCCTGGCACAGTCCTCTTTTAAGGCTTAATCTGTACCTCACCCTCAAGGCTGGGTGGCCCCTCCCCCCCCCATCTGCCTTGTCCTGCCGTATTGGCAGTCCCGACTGGCTGTGCCTGGATGAGATGACCTAGGGCCCTTCCCAGCTCCCAGGACTCAGACCTGCGTAGATCTCTTACCCGCGAGGGCAAGGGAGAGAGGGACATCTCGAGTTTTGCACGTGCTATTCTCAGGCCAACTTGCCTAGTTTTGCGTTTTACTATTATGCTAAACAGTCTCCATTGAGAAAAGTCTGTTCTTCACAATTAAATGGCAAACATGTCTGTTCCCTAGCTGAAAACATAAGGTGGCATCATTGTAGAAAGACTGGGCAAATCGAGGAATATCTGAACGTAGATTTCCTGAACGTGAGGGATGCGGAGAGCCAAGAGCTGTTCTAGAATGCGTCTGGGGCCAGGCTGCCATCCGTTTTCCTCTTAGATCTTCCGCACGCCCACCGCACTAAACATTCAGTGCCCGGGAATTGTTTGTTGGACTGAATCGGCTGGTCATGTCTAAAGACAGGGCAAGCTCTGGGTTTGTCACTATGGCTGAGACAAGAAGCATTCTGTGATAAGAAGCCAGGAAGCATTTCGTTTGCATCCCCAGGGAGACAGCCAAAAACAAGAAATGCTTCCGGCCACAGTTGAGGTGCTGGGGGAGGGGGGAGGCGGTGTTTACTGTCCTGAAGATCGAAGTTCAGTGGACAAATGTTTCGTGCTTTCCCTTGACAAACAGACCAAAATGCTCAGCTACTATGGATGTGTCTGCCACCCAAACCCGTGGTAACAGGGCACCAGCTCCTTTTCCTTATCGGATGCCCGTCAGTATAGGGGAGATGTGCCCACATTGGAAAATTTAGTTTGCAGCTGTTCTTTGCAACCATTTTATAAACACTATAAATGTCTGCAGAAGGAAGAACCGGGGTGTGTTGGAATGTTCGTTACCCAAAAGTGTTGCACTACCAGCTAGACCCTTTGCCAGAAAGATCCCTCCTTTGCCCTAGATTTTTCTACGGCTTTTCTGTGCCCTCTCTGCTCTGTACTTTCCCGGTAACAGGGAAGGGAGGGAAATCTCTGCCCCTGGGACAGAATTCCAGGCACTCTTATTCCCTTGCTGCTGCCCCTTTATGCCAACAAGTGATTCTAACTGAAGGACAGCTGTACACCACCAAGCTTGAAGGGGGCATTGATATTTTCAAGATGGCTTTGGGGAAACTAAAGCAAAGCCAGTCGATACATAAAGTAAATCACTCAATTTTTATTATTGAGAATTAGCAGTGTTTTCCCTAGAAGGATGGCTTCGTCATAGTTCAGCTACAGGAGGATATTACCCTGGAGAACTGATCTTAAAGATATTGGGGGAAAAAAATGACCCACGTCTGCCATTAATGCTGCAGCTTTTGTGTCCGTTTCCTTCCTTAGCTGCTTTGGCAGAGATCACGGAAATGGTGGCCCAGCTTCACGGTACGATGATCAAGATGGAGAATTTCCAGAAGCTTCATGAACTCAAGAAAGATTTGATTGGCGTTGACAATCTTGTGATTCCAGGAAGGGTAAGCAGCTGTGCTCTCTGTATGCTTTGGAGGTAAAGCCAGAAAGACAACATTTAAATGACTTACATTTGAACCTTTTGAATATGGACACTCCCAAGTTAAAATATCCTCCTTCTGAAGTGGCTTCCTTCCCCCCTGGGGGACAATTGGGAAAATGCCTTGAACATTACGGTGTCAATTCAAAAATTTTGTGTTAGAAGGAGATCAATCAATCAATCCTTCCACCGCATATGCCGCTTTTTCTCCTTACTGGTTGATCCATTCATTTACTTTTTCCCCACCATATTCTGAGCAGATTTGAGATTGCTTATTTTATTTTTTTTAATTTAGATAAGTAAAAATGGAAGATAAAAAAAAATTTTTTTAAGAATTGGGTGAAATGGCGATAGAAAGCAGAGAAAAAGCTAGTGCACGAAAGCAGGCAATAAATTCCCATGTAAGAAAAGTATTTTTTTTAAGATGCAATTTACAGGGACTTCCCTGGTGGTCCAGTGGTTAAGACTGTGCTTTCACTGCAGGGGGCACAGGTTCGATCCCTGGTTGGAGAACTGAGATCCCACATGCCATGTGTTGTGCCCCCCCTCAAAAAAAGATGCAATTTGCATAATGTAATTTGAATTTGGAATTAAAATAACATTTTAGCCAGAACATGATTCTGGGAGGGATGCAAATTCACTTATGCTATTAACCTTGTCTTCCCCACGTGCATGACGTGTAGGTCATTCACAATAAAATAGGGCCTCGCTATCCAAATACTCTCTCTCCACGCCAGTGGGCATTTTAAAAATACAGGGTAGCCTGCCTTTTTCCAATTCTCTTCCTAGGAAGCAGTCATTAACCAGGAATTAATACTAGGCAGTCGCTGTGCCTCGCCAAATCTCTCTGTGGGAATTTTTTCCACTAGTCCCCTATCTTGAACCTCATCCAGGTTCAGAAGGGCATTTTAGCCTCTTTGATCTGCCTTAATCTGCAAACAAGTATCCCGTGTGTCAGGGGCTTCTAGTTTTATCTGACAGGTAGCCTCCCTGGAAACTTTAAATCTGTGTAACTCAGAGAAGAAAAGGGAAGATCCCTCATCTTTTGGGTATTTGGGTCTTTCTGTTGGGAATCCTAATTACAAAGCTGACCAGAATACCAGTTATAAAATGTTGTCAGAAGAGTTATGTGGTAAGTGCTGGGTGGAAATTAAAGCTGGGATTTACTTCAGCTCTGCTGGTGAGAAAATTCTGCCGGGACTCAGTACATGACAATCACATTTACCCATCCATGCAGAAGCCTTTAAAGCCTTGTGGAATCAATGTAATTTTCTCTAAACTTTGGATGTCATAAAATATTTAGCATATCAGGCTACATGGCAAACAGAGCATTTGTAAGGAACTCATTTTGAGGAAGAGTTTCCACGGTGCTATGAAAAGAGCAGTGGATTGGAGTAGGTGGCCCGGGTTCAATTTCTGGCTCCACCAGAATTGGGATGGCTCACTTACTGGAACGTTCCTTCCCTTCTGTTAACGTGGGGGTCATACCTTCTCCGTTGTAGGTGATACGGATCAAATGAGATTTAATGTGCAAAACCAACACAATAAATACGAATTATCTTCCTCTTCCCCCACCTACACTTATCTGAAGAGACTAAGTTTATGCTTATTATAATGTCATTGAGTACACAGCACAGCATTGTAGAAGGCACCAGAAGCTTTTCATCAGATACGGGCGCTCTCACCCACCAACTGACCAGGTGATCTGGGCAAGTTCCTTACTCATTTTGCTCCCCAGTTTTCTTATCTGAAAACTGGGGATGAACCTACAGGCTCACATATGCAGCTAATATAAGCACCCAGCACACGTCAGGCTCGCACCACGTGCTAAATAAAAGAAGGTCATTATTATTGAGGAAGCTGAGGGGTGCTGGTTACACACTGCAGACTCGCCTTATCTGCATATTCTTATGTTCATCTGCCTGCTTCACGGCCACTCACTGTTTCAAAGTCAGCCCTGACTGACATGGGAAGGAGGGATCTAAGACCCTCAGAGGGGCGAGTTCTAAGATGAGCTGTTCCACACACGGAGGCTAATTGATTTTCTTTTTTGTTTTTTAAGTCTTTATTGAATTTGTTACAATATCACTTCTGTTTTATGTTTTTGGTTTTTTTGGCCATGAGGCATGTGGGATCTTAGCTCCCCGACCAGGGATCGAACCCACACTCCCTGCATTGGAAGGAAAAGTGTTAACCACTGGACCACCAGGGAAGTACCCTGGTTTTTTGTTTGTTTGTTTTTTTAATTTTAAATTATCAAATAACCTGATGAGTGGAAAGAAGGCTCTGACAGATTTATCTACTGGTGGAATTTGAAAAATTGAGATTTAAAGGTGAGCGGCTCACGTTCCAGCTCCCTGCGGTCTAATTCCTCACCCAGCTTTCGGGCATAATCCTGCTGCCCTCCCGCTAGGGTCAGGCTGAGATGAGGTCATGTCCTGGAAGGCAGGATTCCCACCCCACCCCCACCCCCGCCCCTGAGGCAAAAGGCCCCAGCACACTCTGGCCTGAGCCAGGCCCCCAGGGTGTGTTTTCTGTCCCTAAGAGTTCTGTGCCTGAGAGTTCTTCCAGGAGGATAGTGGAGGTTCATTTGGATAAAACTCAGAGGCCTGGATATTGTGAATTTCATTCCAGTAGGAAGCAGCTTGAGCTTAAGGATATTAGGAGCCTTTTCTTTTTCTCCTATTTCATGTTTTTTTTTTTTTTTAATTAAAAAACAGTTCTGGGCAAGAGGCATTTTCCATCTCCAGCCCTGAGACGGTGATCTGAGTCCATAGCCCTTCTGCAGAAGCTCCATCTTCCCCTTCCCACATCCCTAAGATTCGTTAAGAAAACGCACATATAACAACATCGGATATGCGAGCCGGGAACAGGAGTGACAGCACAGTAGGGTCACCACTCCTCATTCTCTGATCCCCTTCAGTGATGAAAGCAGTCCCCAAACACCGTTTCTTCATACGGTACCATTGCTGTCTGATAGCATCCATCCCATGGACCAGCAAGTATTTGTTGTGTGTCACTTCGTTGATCTCCAAAATATGTCAGTTAAATCGCCAGCAGATATTGTCTTTGATTGACATTTCATAAAGGACCAAAGCAAGAGTCAGGCTGTGCAGAGTCTATAGAATGCAAATGAACTGGGTGAGTCCCTGTTCTTGGCTCGTTAGCTACCGAGGTCACAGGAAAACTAGGTAACAAACAGCCCCAATACTTAGTGACTGAAGACAACCTTTTAGTATATGTCACGGTTTTGTGAGTTGGGAATGGGGCAGGACTCAGCCAGGTGATTCTTCTTTCTGTAGGGCATTGACAGAGGTCCCAGATGGGCTGACCTGGAGGGGGCAAGGCTTACACTTGGCAGACGGCTGGAGGCTGGGCTCAGCTGGGACCGTGCACCCGAGAGCCCACGAGGGTCCTCCCCAGCGTGGGTTCAGGGTGGTCTCACTGCTTAATGTGCAGTTTAGGGTTCCCAGAGCAAGTGTTCCCAGGGACAAAGCAGAGGCTATGTGTAGTTTTATGACCTGGTCTCAGAGGTCACACAGCATCACTTCCATACTCTGTCAAATTGGTCACCAGTCTACCCACATCCAAGGGAAGGGGACAGAGACCAGCCTCTGTGGGAAGAATGTCAAAGAACTTGCAGCTGTGTTTTAAAAGCAGCTCTGTGGAAACATAGTTTGGCGGTTCCTTAGTAAGTTAACCATAGCATTTCCTCATGACCCAGCAATTCCACTCCTGGCTCTATACCCAGAAGAATTGAAAATAGGTGTTCAAACAAAAACTTGAACATGCATGTCTACAGCAGCACTGTTCAGAGTAGCCAGAAGGGGAAACAACTCAAATACCCATCAACAGCCTAAGTGGGTAAACAAAGTGTGCCCCATCCATGCAGTGGGATATTCAGCCACAGAGAGGAACGAATTTCTGACACGTGCCACAGCATGGACGAACCTCGAAAACATTGTGCTAAGTGAAATAGGCCAGACACAAAAAGCTACATATTACATGTTTGACTTATATGAAGTAGGCAAATCCATAGAGACAGAAAACAGATTGGTGGTTGCCAGGTGCTAGGGGAGGCAGAAACGGGGAGTGAGAAATGGGGACTGACTGCTTAATGGTGATGAGGTTTCCTTTTGGGTGATGGAAAGTTCTGGACCTAGATGGTATTGATGAATGCACTAAAGGTCATGCAGGATAAGTTTTATGTGTATTTTACCACAATTTTTTAAGTGATAGTTTTGTGGAGGGTTTCTGAAGTGCCCCTGAATCGTCTGTGCCCTCAGAAGTTTATAGTCGGGAGGGAGAGTTCCTTTCTGGCTCTTTCATCCTAAAACACAGTTTCTAGTTTTTGAGAACCAGATTTTAAGTCGTGGAGAAAATTCCTCTATGCACAGTTCTCGCCTATGGCGTATCTGTCTTCCTGGTCCCCGGCTGCCACTTTGTATCCATCCAGGGGCCTTGTCCCCTCCTCACAGCCAGAAGCCCTGAGGGCCTGGGGGTTAAGTGTAGAGTTGTAGGTCCGGGTGTGAACCAGCGCGCCGCACAGGCCAGCGGAGCTCCGACTGCCAGCTGCTTTTCTGGTAGTGGAGCCAAAGCTAGCCCCTGCCTTGCAGGTTGCTCAGAAGGAAAGGAGCTTAGAGGCGGCACAGCACGGCATTCAGTAAATAGTGGCTATGACTGATACGATTTTTAGCATGAAAGGGACCACAGTGGGCGGAAGCATCTCACATCGCGTTGAGTCTGCGCTGGCGCGGCTTTGCAGCTCGTGGGTGTGTTTTCTCTGCAGGAATTCATCCGCCTGGGCAGCCTCAGCAAGCTCTCCGGGAAGGGGCTCCAGCAGCGCATGTTCTTCCTGGTAAGTGGTGAGAGCTGTTTGTTCAAGGTGATCGGTGACTTGTGAGCCCATGGAACCAGCAAGGGTCACAGCGCTGGGCCTCGGCCACCCCAGAGGGGGTACCTGGGAGACAGGAGGAGCAGCCAGAGCTGCTCAGACTGGAGTTGTTGAGATCCACGAATTGTCCTGTCGGACTCTGAAAACGTAGTTTCTGTACTTGTTGGTTTCAAACGGAGTCCACTCATCTCAGCCGCGCTTGTCCTTGTTCTTCTAGTTCAATGACGTCTTGCTGTACACGAGCAGGGGGCTGACGGCCTCGAATCAGTTTAAAGTTCACGGGCAGCTCCCGCTCTACGGCATGACCGTGAGTATGCGCCATGGGCACGGGATGGGGACCTCTGCCCCTGGGCTGCCTGCGGGGTGCAGGAGCCAGTGACAGGGGGAGGGGCTTGATAAGGAAGTGAGAGCATCACAGGCGCTGTGAAAAACCTGGGCCTTGTTAGGGCTCCCCTAGAGGGGCCCCGGGACCTCACTCCCTGTCCTGCACCTGGGATGCACGGCTATATTCCTTCCGGAATCAAGTTCAGAGACAAGCTGCCGTGCCTACGTGGTGTGAACTTACTTGCCTTTCACTGCCCGGTGCCTGGCCCCGTGGCCCTGAGAGGCCATCCTCACCGTCCACGTGGAGTGAAGACCAGGAAGCAGCCTTTCTCTCGAGATGTCCAGTGGACGGGTGTCTATATCCTGTGATCCTTGGTGGGCAGAGGCAGACAGGGCGCCAGTGTGCACCAGGGTGGCTTATCCCCACACTCTCCTCAGTGGTCGGGTAGAGGGAGGTTTATGGCTCTGACGAAAAAATATAATGCATTTTGACCTTGCTTTCACCCTCCCGGTGGGGACTTTTTTGGACTTGGTTCCGCCGAGCTGTAGTCAGTTCGGTGAACGTTTGAAAATGCACTGAGTATCCCAACCCCTGCTCGGCAGTAACTTATGAACACTCGCCCCACAGATGGAAGAAAGTGAGGACGAGTGGGGCGTGCCCCACTGCCTCACCCTGCGGGGCCAGCGCCAGTCCATCGTCGTGGCTGCCAGGTAACGCGGGAAGCCTGACCTTTGACCTCGGTACCCCTTCTCCCCACTGTGGCCTGGAAATACCTGACGCCCATCTGTCCTCCTTCAGTTCTCGGTCCGAGATGGAAAAGTGGGTGGAGGACATACAGATGGCCATTGACTTGGCCGAGAAGAGCAGCGGCCCCGCCCCCGAGTTCCTGGCCAGCAGCCCTCCCGACAGCAGTAAGCGTTGCACTGAAAATTGCCTTACCGATGCCTTACGTTTGTGTTTTAAGCTAAAAATCAAGGAACTTTTTATAAAAGTTTAAAAAAACAAACAAAACCCCTTAAGAGAATGAGCAAGCGGAGAAATCGCATCTTCTCTGGGCCAGCACTGCCGCTTGTCAGCCTCTGGGGGGCGAGGGGCGGGGAGAAAACTGTTAGGGGCTCCCTGGCAGAGGGACTGACTGGTGGGACGCCCCTGGCCAAGCCCTCGCGGCCAGTGTGACTTCCTGCTCGGTGGGTGCCCGGGACCCCCAGCCTTCCCATCCCCTTCGGCTCCTGGGTGGGGGCGGGACAGGGGCCCTCCTGGCGAGCAGAGAGGAAAGCGCCGCCTCTTGCTGCCCCCGCAGAGTCCCCGGAGGAGGCAGCGGGCGACCAGGAGTCGGAGGACGACCTCAGCGCCTCGCGCACCTCGTTGGAGCGCCAGGCCCCGCACCGCGGCAACACCATGGTGCACGTGTGCTGGCATCGCAACACCAGCGTCTCCATGGTGGACTTCAGCGTGGCCGTGGAGGTAGGGCCGGCGGCGGGGGGTCCGGCCACGGACGCCGGCCTTCTGAGCATGCGCGCTCTGTGGGCCGGCAGGTGCACCGGCCTTGGCGTCTGTCCGTCCCCAGGCCGCCTGTGCAGTTATGGTTTTCTTTTGTTCTCTGGACTGTGCCCTCTCCTCTCGCGGAGTTAGCCACAGGGCGGGGACTGTGCGTGCCCTTATTCGTGTGTCCGCGCCAAGAGGTCGGGATGGGCCGCCCAGGCGCCGTTCTTGCTGCGCCCTGGAGCAGCCCCCGGAATCGGGTGCGGGGAGGCGGTATGGTCGGAAAGCTGGTGCCAGCCAGGGCCCCAGCAGGTAGGTGTATTTCATGGAAGAACCTGCAAGAAGCCGGCTCTCGGAGCGTCCCGAAGGTCTGGCTTTGGGGATGGGGGCTCTCCCCATATTGCGACCGTGAACCTTCCAGAACTCTCCAAACCTCATTCCCTAAGCGTCCTCCAGTCCAGGTCCATAATCCCTAACCTTTCAGAAAATGCGAAGCCCAGAAAGCTCTAAAACCGTGAAGTTCTCTTCATACCCCATTAACAGCAGAACCTGACCTGACCGGTTTTATACTACAGAATCGCTGTGTTTGATTCTGGGCTACAACCCCAGACCCCACTGCCTGGGGTGCCATAGAGGACAGGCACTGGATTATCTTTCTAAAATCTGACAAATTCTGAATTCCTAAGTATAAGTGTGCCTGGCCCAAAAATGTCACATAGGAGATTGTAGGCCAAGAAGAGCGGTTTGTTTGCTTTCGGAACCAACAGTGTGTTGGTTCAGATGAGCCGAACGTTTCCTGACGGGTAGTCCATAGGGATTCTCTGAGATTGTTTTCTGGAACTGACCTTCACAGTTCCACGGAGCTGCGTTTGTCGAGTTTCCCTGCTACAGCTAATGTTCTAAAACCCGTGCTTCCTTGTCAAAACATCCTCATCCTCGGGGCTGTCCCAGTGCGTGGAGCTCCCCGACTGTGCCTGGCCTTCCCTCTCCTGCATCCGTCCCACGGGGCGGGGGGTGGGGGTGGAGCTTTCTCTTCCCGAGGGGCTCACTGCATTCATCCTCCTTCCCATCACATTTCCACTGCATCTGTTGGCGAAGCTTGCCAACCGGAGATTTCTTCCAGGGAACAGGGATCTTTCCAGCAAGGAGGGGGCAGTGGCCATCTGGAGGCAAAAAATACCTGATGACATCTCTTCTGTCCAGGCGAGGCCAGGGGAAGGGCGGGGCCGTGGGGGAAGAAATCCTCTTTACTTCGCTTTATACTCACCTTTGCGATGTGTAGTCAGGGCTGTGGAGGTGTGCAAATTTGGTAGGCATGAACCTTCCTCCTTAATCCTGGAGGCAGGCAGGCCATTCAGGAATGCGGTCCAGACACAGCTCCTCGAGCCCAGCTTTTCAGGGTGACAGCCTGCACTGGTGCCGTGTGTGTGTGCACGCACGTGTCAGTCAGCCGAGTGGTCAGCACACCAAGTGGTCAGCACACTGCGGCCTCAGACCAAACCCTGCCCGCCCCCTGCTTGGTTACAGCCCGTCAACAAAGGACAGGGTTTTCCGTTTTTGAGTGGTTACTACAACTATCCTTGATTTTGCCCCTTGGCCCAAAAAGCCTAAAATAGTATTTGACCCTTTGAGGAAAGGTTTGCTGAACGTTGTAGCCCATGGGAGCGAGCCCTGAGCCAGTGTGGTTTTAAGGTGGCAGTGATGCAGCTTGGATGCTCGTGGAACTGGTGCGTCTGTCGCTCTGTAAATGTCCCTTCCTTGCCCGATCCCCCTTCCCCAAGGTGTGTGGCTTCAGTCTGGTGTCCGTGGTGGGCTCCTGTGGGTGCCACATGCCCCTGGATGACCGGAGTTGGGGGAAGGGGGACGAGGGAGTGGCTCCTTCTTGACGTGCTGCTTTCTCACCGTCCCCGGCACCAGATTCTCTCCTCTAGGGCTCGTGCAGGTAGAAGTGAGTGAGGGGGATGTTTGGGGGCAGCGTGAAATTGAGCTGGCCTCCGCAGAAAGTCTGGGGGCACCGTCGACGTCGGGGTGCTGACGCCAGGACAGCCAGTGTGAAGCCTTGCGTAGGCCATAGGGCCAGCGGAGGGTTCAGAGGTGAAACCATCAAAGTTGTGTTGTAGGACTGGAGTTGGGAGGCGTTGGGGGCTGGGGAGAGAGGAGGGTGTCACTCAGCCGTCTGCACACAGGAGAGGACCAGGGGGATGGGGGGAAACAAGCATCTCATCTGTTAAGCTGGCAAAGCTAGAAGGACTTACTCAGAACGAATACCCTGGCATGTTCCAGGAGGATTCAAGGCTGCTGGCAGAAGGTAAGAGTGTTCTCATGAACCTGCCTTGGAAAAAACGCTGGCCTGGAACCTGGTTTATCAATGAAGTGTGTAAACCACACTGTGGGTTGGACTGGCTATTGTTCCAAAGGTAAATGCATCTAAGAGAAAGGTTTTCTTGGGGCTCTGCCTGGAGGAATTTACTTGATTTCAGTATAAAAATAAGGAAAGGAAAATGTGCTACTCTCCCTCCAGAGTGAGACTTGCATGTAATCATGTGTGCTATTGCACAAGCATCAAATCCCCACTCTGGTTGGTTGCCACCATCACCTACTGGAACCCACAGTTCCCCTTGTGCCTTTCGCCAGTGGGTAAGTGGCAGCCAGAAGGAGTGATGGCACACTGTCTGCGGTGGCCACAGGGACAGCTCTGCTTCCTGTGTTCTCTCGGCCTAACACGCCGTCTCCCCCATCAGACTGCAAGCGACTCGCAGCCAGAGCCATTTAAACTCTTCTCACAGGCGCCTTACTTAAGAATGCCTCTTGGATTAAATACAGGTTACTGGAAAAGCCCCAAAGGGATGGAAGGAAGTAGACGCAGGTGTGTGTATGTGTATATTTTATTGTGGCGCGTTTGCCCGTTTCCCCCCTTTGAAGTAAACGATTTAGTGGCAGTGATTACATTCACCATCCATCCATTTCTCTCTTCGTCGAGGCTTCCTGGCCCTGAGCTGCTGTCTTGTCAGGGACACAGATGAGGCTTCTTAGGGTCCTCGGAGAGGTGACACAGGGGCTTTGGAGAGAAGGCAAGGATGCACGGGCTCTGCTCTTGGCGTCCCCACTTGGCTGCCTGTGATTTCACGGTGATGCTCAGTGCTGGCAGCTCCTGCGGGCCTCAGGAGACCATGGAGCTCCGGAGTTAAACGAGGACGCCCGGAATGCCTGTTCCCACCAGCGTAGGATGGGGCCTGGAGGCTCCGCGCTGAAATCCAGCGTTGCAGCCAGGGCCACCAGGCGGCAGTCGGGAGCTGCTGGCTGGCGCTGGGCTCCTGCCGGCTTAGAGTTGAGGGTGATGGATCCTTTCCCACGGATGCCATAACGAGCACCATCCGCTGCGCTGGGCAGATCTGTCTCACCATCCTGGAGGTCACAGGTCCAGAAATCAACGTGGCACGAGGGCCACGCTCCCTCTAAACCTGTGTGGGAGGAGGCTGCCTTGCCTCTGCCGGCTGCCGTGGGTTGCTGACCAGCCTTGGGTGTTCTTTGGCTTGTAGACGCATCACTCGAGCCTGCCTGTTGTCACAGGGGCTGCCCTGTGTCTGTCTCCTTTTTAGAAGAATGTCAGCAGTAGTGGAGACGGGCCTCTACTCCAGGACGATCTCCTTAATTCTACATCTGATGACCCTATTTCCAAATAAGGTCACATCCTGAGATACTGGCGGGGGGAGGGGGTTAGGATTTCAAGATACATTTGGGGGACAGAATTCAGCCCATACCAGGTGACAGGAAAATTAGTCCCCCTCCCAGAGCGCAAGGCCGTTTTCTTAAGCCACCCCCAGGAAGCCTGCTCACAGGAGCGCGGCCCTGCCGGTGGGCCCCACTGGACTGTGACGCTGAGCTGGCCTCTCCACCGGGCCCCTTACAAGCTGACTTATCTTATAGAATCAGCTGTCTGGGAACCTGCTGAGGAAATTCAAAAACAGCAACGGATGGCAGAAGCTGTGGGTAGTCTTCACACACTTCTGCCTGTTCTTCTATAAGTCGCACCAGGTATGTGCCCAGCGGGGCGGCTGGGGAAGAGCCTGAAGGACCCTCCCTCCTCCCTCCTCGGGGAGCAGGCAGCTTGCCTCTGGAAGGATGAACAACTTGACCCCTGAGCCGCCCAGGGGTCGGAGGGGGGGCGGGCACAGCAGGCTGGGCAAGGCCGTGGCCCTACAGCTCTAAGCGAAGGCTGCCGTTATCCACTTGCCCAGGGGCTGCGCGTCTGCTGGCTGGATGAGGGGAGGGGGTCGCGGGTGATGTCACCGGTGGCAGACGCGACGCATCCGGGCCTGGACCTCAGTCCGGACCGCCTGCTGCGGGCAGGTGCCACACCCTTGGCTGCTCCCACCTTCTGTGCCCCCTTCCAGGACAGTCACCCCCTCGCCAGCCTGCCTCTGCTTGGGTACTCGCTCACCATTCCCTCGGAGTCCGAAGACCTCCACAAGGACTACGTGTTCAGGCTGCATTTCAAGTCCCACGTGTACTATTTCCGGGCTGAGAGCGAGTACACGTTTGAAAGGTAACCCTCCCCCCCCCCCCCCCCCCCCCCCCCCCCCCCC